GCTCTACTGTTGCTATTTCTAAGTGGATCCTGTATGGATCACAGTGTTCAGCTATTGTGAAAAGGGAGAAGGATGGAGAACCATGGCCAGCCTGATACTACCCTTCAGTCTAAGGCACAGGTGAGAGGAAGAGCAGCTAGCATAGCTAAAGTGTGCCAGCCAAATTCTTGTTTTTTCAGGCTGACTAACTGAGCCTGCTTTGTGGAGAGCATTTACCTCAAATGGGTTGTATTCATGATTCTGGATTGTTTTTCCCTCTTCTGTTCTTCCTCCCTGGCTTGCAAAGCAGAGTTGTTAAGCAGCTGGGTTACAGCTGTGGCTTGCGCTGCCTTTTCTTTAGCTCTGCCCAGCCTCTGATTTTCCTGCAGTTCAAAGATCAGCTCTTGTTGTTTTTGAAGCTGCTGCCTCTGCTCCTCAATCAGACGTTGCTGGAAGGCATGACGGTGCTCAAAACGGCTGCCATAAGCAGGAGCTGTCTTTGGACCAGGTGCCTGAAACTGATGGGGGAGAGTCTCTATTTGATTCCTGTACACAGCCTGGTCCTGGGCACTTGGGGCTGCATGGTTTAGGGTAATCCCCCATGCAAATTTGGGTTTTCTGTAGGAATGAGATGTGTCAGCAGCATCCCAACAAGAGTGGTCTCTGGTCTGGTGAGGTTCTTTCTGCATGAGGCAAGTTTCAGTTGGCTAGGGGGAAAAAAAAAAAGAAATGAGGAAAAACTGGCATTGATTAAAACCAAGCATTCTTCTGCCCTTCCTATATAGTGTTTATTTAATGCAAATTGAGTGATATGCCTGAGAAGTAGGTTGATCTCTGCTGTGCAATCTTTATGCAGTTCCTAGGCAGGGCAGAGGCACCCTATTATGCACAAATTAGGAGCCTACAGGAAAGAACAGTTAAGGATCTGTGTGCCATTTCACTGGGAGGAAGAAATTGTAATCAGGTGTGAGCTTTGGCTGGATTATATCCTGAATTTTTTGTTAGTGAGCATAGCTCAGGACAGCTCATCTCTCAGGGAGTAGCACGCTCCCTTTTAGACTGTGTTGTCCCCACTCAGTGTTGAGACAGAGAATAAAGGAGAAAAGCAGTTGTTGAAGTGATCTACATGGCTGATCTACTGAACAGTCCATTCTAAATGGAAGGTAAGTCTACAAGGTGTTGCTTCCTTATGCCTCTTCTCCAGCTTTGATAAATACTGCCATGGAACTGGTGCACAGTGGGGAATGTGGCTGCCTTTTCTGACACTTGGTCTTTCTCTGAGGAGGCATCAGATTTAAGGTCTATTTTCTGATTCCTAGGTCAAACTCCATATTCAGTTCCATCCTTCCAGCACAATTTTTACCAGTGCATCAGAGGAAAAATACAGGCCTGCTAGGATGATACAAGCACTGTAAGAAATCAACTTCTACTGACGCTTAAGCAAATTAAAAGCTTGACCTGCAATGTGTATGTGTGAGCTCTCATGCTGGAATTGGGATACTGCTGTGGTACAGGTTTTATATAGACCAAAAGGAGGGGCATGCTCTGACCTGACAAATAACAATTTTAAGAACCAACCTCTGATTCTTCTCTCCTGCCTCCTTGTGATGCGCATTATCCTGAAACAGCCAGTGACTATTTTTTTCCTCCATGCTTAAAACCCAGAAAGCTGCACTGGCATGACAAATCTCTTGTCAGGCAGTCAAGTGTTATTATTTTTAAGTCTAAGCAGGCATCAAAGATGTAACTAATCTCTCAGCAAAACTGATCTGGGGGTAGGGCGCTCACTGCAACTCACAGTACATGAAGGGTCGTACTCTGGTAGCATTTTTTTGCATCTGATTTTTAAAGACTTCTCAACAGTTGCAGGCACAGTTGCAGTTTGGGGATCACCCTAGGAAAGAAGGCTTCCTCTGGGACAATGTATTCTTAATTTCAGATTGCACAAAATCATTACTTTGTAAGAGTACTGAGATGCCAATAGACAAAACTACACGGGAAGGATTTACTTTGTCTTGCTGCAACTGTTGGTGATGCTTTACTTCTGCCATCCCAGGCTCGTTAACCTCTAGTGGCCTCTCCAGACCACCCTTCCCCAGTGAAACTGCCTCCAGCAGCTGTGCCATCTTTCTCTTGGTCTCCTCCCTCTTGATCTGCAGCTTTCGGTTTTCTGCCTCTGCTTGGCTCCAGTGCTGCCACGCCAGAAAGCAGCTGCGCAAAAGCCGTTGCTGGTTGTGCTCTGCAGACAGTTGTTCTTTCCTGAAGGAGAAAGCACTCGTGTTATGACAGGTGTGCCCAGGCCTGCCTGAAACAACTGTATCAAGTGCAGCAGTCCAGACTGTGGCACAAGGCCCCCTAATTTCCCCAGTCTTTTTGTCACTTAAATCTGAAGGCCCTCCAAAGCTCTACAGAGTTTCTCCAGTGAGGAGTGGCAGGGCAAAAAGGATGCCTGTTATTTTGAAGTTTCCCTAATTACATTTTGCAGTCTTCTGTGTCACCCTTGGGCTGTAGGATAGGTGCAAAAGAGGCATCTTGTTCCCTTGCCAGCTGCACCTGAGGAGGCAGCAGTGCCTCACCACACAGCCTTCCAGAAATCTGCAGGAGCAAAACTTTCTCTGGCTCATAGGAAATTCATCCAACAGCCTTCTTAATTAAAGGCCCTAGCCAAAATTATATCTGCTGTACTACTACTACTGAGATAGGAAATAACTATGTTAATCAGGAATAAGCATAGCATCATAGAATGGTTAAGGTTGGAAGGGACCTTAAAGAGATCATCAGGTTCCAGCAGGGACACCTCACACTAGACCAGGCTGCACAAAGCCTCATCCAATCAGGCCTTACACACCTAGTATTTTCTGGAGTACAGAGCAAGCCAGGGTGAGATTTTCAGAAAAGATACCTAGAGAGAGAGTGACACCTAGGCTTGCTGGAAAGTGCTAAAGCTCTTGTTTATCTCTGTTCTCCTTTTTCATCTGTGCCACAATGCCTCTGGCAGACTGCAGGCAATGTAGCAATTTCTCAAAAAGCTACTGTCATCCTCCTGACTAGCTAACTGGCAAGCACCTTCTACAGTCCCTGATCACTGCACTGCCCAAGTACTGCTGCAGTAAGAGAAATTCCACAATGTAGGATCACTACCTGTTTTGATCTTGGAGATGAAGTTCCAATTGCTGTGTTTCCTGCTCTACTTTCTGGGCCCAAGTATAATTTCTCCATGCTCGCAGGGCCTTCAGTTGGCATTTCCAGTCAGCAAAGGCACTGGCTTTTCCCATTTTAATTCGGTGCTCCAGAATGACTTTCAGCCAAGCAGAGAAATGGCGCTGCATGCACTGGATGAGACAGTTTCAGAAAAGCAGTAAGCAAGATACAGCCTGTCACACAAATGCTGATCCCCTCCACCCTTCCCCTTACCTGACTTTTTGAGATTATTCTTAGAAAGAAAACTAGGAATAGAACAACATGGGGCTCTATGCTTTTGAGTCTCTGCACTTTCCCTGTTCCTGCACCAGGGTCTGCAAGCCAATCTTTATTATACTTACTCATGCACACAATAAGGGCTTCTCAGGCCCTTTTGTGACACTTCCCCCTTTTGCTTCCTTCCTCAATGAAAAACAGATCTTGCTACACTGCTTCCTCTGTTCATCTTCCGATTTCTCAATTGCAGAAGCTTTCATGTTTGTAACTTTCCCAAGAGCCACAGCTTTTCCAGAATTCTAAGTGAACCCTCCTGCTGACTACCTTTGAGGCACAGACACACTGAGGATGGAGGCTAAAGATTTCTTGCTCCTACTCTTACAAGGTACTTTTTGCCCTGCTCTTCTATTTTCCTAGTATCAGGAGGAGAACTTGTAAAAAGCAAAAACTTCTGATAACCAGGACTTTTTACTTCAGTTTTGCAAACGGTAGCTGAGGGCAGGTAGCTCAGAGTCTCAGATAAAGAAAGGTGATGCTCACTCTCTGCTTATTGGTGTGAATCCTGTGTAGCAGCTCCTGAGCCCTTCTCTCTTTCTCTTCTCTTTGCTCTTCTTTCTTCAGGACCAGGGGTGGTGAGGCAGTACTAGATACCTCCTGCTTCTGACTTTTTTCTTGTCTCTTCCGCTCCCTGAAAAGTGAATGAACATACAGCTCTAACACGAGGAAAGAACTGTAGCACAGATTTCACTCTCTTTTTGGCAAATCCTAAGAGAATCACCTCTACAACTTAGAAAGTTGCTACTTATTTAACTCAGCCTTCTTAAAAAACAGCCTCAGTTATGGTTTGGGGTCTCAGACGTTAAACAGCTGTGAGCATTTCCAAAATAGAGCAGGCAGAAGAAAATAGTAAGACTTCAGTAAAGCACTTGCATGAGAACATTCTGGATGTCAGGGCTGCCTAAGTAAATGGCATCCCCACAAATCACATGTCTATGACAATCCAGACTCAGCAGAAGCAAAAATTATGTCTCTGCAGAATTCCCAGCCAAGAATGCTCTTTATTCTCTCATAGCAGAGGAAGTATTGTAAGTGCTGGACTTTCAACACAGACTATATTTTTCTTTTTTTTTTTTTTTTTTTTTTTTTTTTTTTTTTTTTTTTTTTTTTTTTTTTCTTCTATGTACTGGATTTCATTCTACTTTAGACACTAACAAGGCTGGATGAGGCCACAGAGTTGATGAAGAGAATGCACAGTGGTGCAAACACACTCCTACTTTGTGACTCGGCATCATCTTCTCACTGATGATAAACTCTGCTATTGACATTGGTAGCAAAATAATACAAGGTTTTGGGAGATTATGGAGTCAGAGGAATAGCAGATGTCTCCTTTGGAATCACCACTCCTCTTATATTTCAAAAAAAAGGCAGTGATAAAAGAGGGGTTCTAGATATGGTTCTTTCCACACCCCCCTCTCCCTCTTACATTCTCCATGCTTCTGCCATGGTATGCCTCTTCTCAGCCATTTCCTTTCGCAGCTTCACCATTTCCCTCTGGATCTCCTCCTCCTCCTTCTTGGCCTTCAGGGCCTTCCTCCTGTCCTCCTCCTGTGCTTGGAGCCTGGCCTCAGACAGAACTGATTTTTTCAGGGACTCTTCCTGTCTGTGAAATGCTAATGCCTTCTGATGCCTCATGTGGTTTTCTTTCACCTGGGAAGGGAGAAATCAGCAAAAGTCAAAGCAGATGCCAAAGGCTGAAGAATTTGAGGTTCATTGTACAATGACAGGGTGGGTCACAATCCACCTTTCACATGAAGCTGTCTGTAGCTGGCACTGACTGGACAGATTCTGCTCTCAGACCAGCAAAAAATTCCATTCAAGAAAGTGAATTTAAAACAGTATTACTTGATGGGAGGAAACTTAAAACTGACTGCCAGGGCAGCTTTTCCTGTCAATCCTCAGAAAGGGGAAAAACCTGGACAAATGCAGTGAAAGTTGACTGTGCAAGCTACTATGAGTGACTAACGTGCAGGTGAAAACACAGTAACATTTCAGCTAAACTGTGGAAGAGCTGCCTCAGGTATTTGCCTCCAAGTCAGAGATTATTGCAGGTTGGGAGAGAAACTGGGGAAGTATCACTGAGCATTTACTCTAATCCTATAATCCTCTGTCTTATTCCTTTTTAACTCTGCTGTTTTACATGCTCACCTGCTTATGTCTGAGCTCCATGATTATTCGTGGATCTACAAGTTGTTTTTCCTTGGTGTTTTCACGTCTAAGGCCTTCCACTATTGCACAGTTCACAACTTCACTCTGCAAAAGATGCTGTAAATATTCTTGGACAGAAGAACTTTCCAATTCACCTTCCAGATAGCCGCAAAAGTCTGAAATGAGGAATTCAGATTATCTCAAACTAGTCTGAAATAAATAACCCCCTCTTTCTCATATCACAAAGCCTAATGTAATTAAAGGGATCGCTTTCTTAGGCTGTGAATGCATTTCTGATAAAAGCAGACACATGGACTGCACTCCATTTGTCCCCAAAGAGTCTTAATCAGTCTCCCATTGAACACACTAGACCAGTAACAACATTTTGTCCATTTTTTACTGCCTCGCCTCTGAGCATGGCTGTATAAATTTGACAGACCTCACAAATACTCATACACAAAAGAAATAAAATTTCTCTTTTACAAAGGGAGACACTGAATGTTTATGAGGTGCATTTGTGCAGTCCTACAGCAAGCTGCGGGAGGAGCTGGGGTAGAAAACGTCACCTCAACGCTTGTTTCTACTGAGACCACTATCCTGACCTCAGAGCAACTTTTACCTCTCAGTCTGACAAGCCATGAGGCCTGGATCCCTTCCCCAGTGCATCCTCAGAAAGGAAGCCAGGAACTGCTTTGTTGCACTCTCACCATCAAACTGCTCATACTTCAGAGGGGCTTCAGAAGGCTTTTCCAGGAGGACAGAGTCAGATTCTTCCTCTCCATCGGTCATCAGCTTCAGTTGCAGTTTGGACTTCATCCAGTTACTGAGCAGCTCCTGGGCTATCATAAGGAAAGAGACTGATGACTTCACTTGCTTAAAAAAATATATGGGTAAGAGTAAACTAGCAAGACTGTGTCTCTGGGATAGTTATATCACATGCTGGGAAGGCTGTCTAAAATGACTGAAAGCTCATCTGCAACAGAAAATGGAATAAGGGTATTAGTTCTGTTCTCATCTTCTTGATCTATAGAAGAAAAGGAAGAGAAGGTGGCAAACTTTTTCCCAGACACAAACGACTTCTTCTGTACCTCATTTTTCCTATCATACTCTGTGGACACTTAGATCACTCGTGTGATTATTATAGTATTCATCAAGGAGATGGAATTCACATAAGCTCATTCATAACTCAGATAGCTTTCAAGTATTTTATCACTGCATTTGCAGATAGATATTTTCCACATGTATAGCCAAGGTTGTAATCTGTTAAATACAAAAAATAACCACTGCCTGAAGAAATGTTTGCTTCACATGTAGAGGTTAACCTTTGCAAGTACCACAGCTCCAGGGACAACTGGTGAGTCTAGATTACAAATCTGTACTCAGAACTAAGAGTACAACCATAGGAATGCACCCCTGATGGATCTGGTACTTCTCAGCAACCTAAAATGCCTAATGAGGAATGGGGTATAAAGTTCTTCTGTGGACTGTATTTGCATCTCTACTCCTGTGTGGGGAAAAAGCAAAAATTCCTTTTTCAGAGTTCCTACTCAAAAGCAAGGACAGCTAATGTGGCTGCTGCCTCAACAAACCACCTGGCCTCACTACATGGGTGGCCAAGCTGTTCCTGAAGCAGAACACAGGGCTGTAAATTGCAAGGCAGCAGGAGCAGCCCCATGAAAAGCTAAGCCATCTGTGTGATGAGGATGGGTGAAGAGCAGGGATCTCGGCAGCCCCTGAAGTGCAAGTCACCCCCTGGAAAGGCACATAGTTGATAGACAGGAAGCAGCTGCTCCAAATCTCTAGTTCCGACACAAAATTAAGCTTCTCCCACTGAGTCCTGGTATTTCTAAGGCAATAAAGTATTTTTAAAACTTTCTTAGAAGTAGGTGGGTTTTCTGAAGAAAACAGAAATCTAATGTTTATTTGCCTTCAAATCGCTTTTGTTCTCTTTCATAATCTCTCAGGCCAGCTCAAGAAGGAGGAAATATATCGGGTAACAGAAAGAAGAGCTCCTTGTAACTGGAGTAAAAGAGTTCTGGTACTTCTTTTATCAATACCTTTCTTTGCAAAGTGGACTATGTATAGTTAATTCCATTAGGTATTCCAATAATGGATTCCAGATAAAAGGCTTTGAAATGAGCTAGGAAAAAATCCTGAGGGATTGGTAGCTATAAAAAGGTAAGCCCTAGCAGAGAAGGGCAAACAAAAATAACAAAGAAACATGAGGAAAGCCAACAACTTTTCCACCAATTTGCAAAGACAACTCCTTTTGAGCCACTACACTGTAGAATGCATTCAGTCAGTGCACTGTAAGCAGACAGGTGCATTCTGTGCCATTAGCTGAACTCTTGATGTCTACAAGTGAAAGAGCTGGCTTCCCATATTGATGTGGGTGCTCTTCAGATATGTCTTCTATTCTGTAAAGCTCCCTTTTGAGTCCTAAAAGAATGCTCAACTTTGTTTCTAAAATCTTGTCTCCTATGATTTTTTTACATTGTATATGTAGTTCTAGCACTGATGTAAGATAAATTCCCCCTTTTTTTTTTTAATGTACAACAGTTTTATTGTCAAATTTCAGTAAGCAGTTCTGGCTGCAGGCCTTACAATGGGAACATTTAGTTAGCTAGTGAGTGAGAAAAACTGAAAAACTCTGCATGGGAATCAAAGCAAAAATGACACAATTATTTGTAGATGTGAAAGTTACACAGAACAACACTATTTTCACATCTGGGCCTGATATAAAAAATGTGAGTTAATTTCATCAGTTTTCTGTAGCCCACTAACTTGTATTTGAGCATACAGTGTGTCTTGGAGGGCAGAATTCTACATTGTCTTGACCTGAAATCGCCAGGAGATAGACAGTTTATCCTTCTCTTAGGCATGTTAATTAAGATCTACCTTTAACTCCAGTGACTGATTCTTTTTCTGTTACATGAAAGACATGTTGCTATGAACTGTTTCTTATGGTCTCAAGCTTTTCAAGACCCTGTTCATACCAGAACCAAAATGCTGGATCAAGAACAGTTCCTTTTAGACAGCTTGTGGCAAGGAGTATCTCAGCTCACCTTCCTCACAGGCCTCATCGTGATCTTGGAGCTGCTCCATGGTTTCCAAACTTGTCACAGGACCACAAAGCCCCTGTGGATACCTTGACTTTTGAAGGGAAAAAGCTTCAGAGGCACCATAGTCAGAGGCTTGGTCCATTCTCTTTAAATTAAAGAAATGAAAAAGTTTCTAAGGATCACTAGATATTAATTTTTAAACTTCCTATATCCAGGTTGCTCCTTCGCAGAGAGCAAACATCAGTTGGAATGAGATGCAAGACAGCACGGCTGTTACAGGAAATAGGTTTATTTTGAAACACATTTCTCCAACTGCTCAATTGACTGCAGAGATCTGACTTAGAAATCATTAAGTAATAAGCATTCATTTAGAAATTAGTGTCAATCATAATGATTGGAGAACACATGAGGGGAATGCAAACACCCAGCCCATGGGCTTTGGATGGAGACTTGCTGAGCTAGTCCCAGCGACCACCAGTGATGAGATTAGGTATCATTGTCCCAGCTAGGCTGGCCGCTATTTAAATAGTCTTGAGTGATTTTTTTTAGTCCCATATTCATCTCTCTGAGGTGTAAATGGTCCTGACAAGTCACTGTGGTTTCACACCTAACACCTGTCCCCCTGACAGCCCGTATTTCTGCAGAACTTCTTCCCTTTGTGCTGGGGCAACCAATGCAAAGCTGCTGCCTCAGAGGCTGCACGAGGAGACAGAGGCTCCTCTGTAAGAAGCTCCTCTGTAAGAAGCAGTCTGAGGATGGGAGCATAGGGGTGCCCAAAGGAGCAAAGCAAAGGGAAGTTCATCCTAGAATTCATCTTCCTTGATGTCAGGTGATTGCAGACGCAGATGGTGCTTTGGGGTAAATCTCCTGTATTACTTGCTCAGTGGATCCAACGTACAGCACTGCTCCACAGCACATGTTGTGGGCGGCCTATGAGTTCTGTGCATACCAACAAGGTACCTTACTCTTGAGCGAGTTACTCTGCAAGTTACTTCACCTTGATCCAGTGTCCCAGGTTATCAAACTTCGTCTGGAAATGAGACGACAAAAAAAAGAAATAATAAAGCATTGCAACCACTCAATTTTTTAACCAGCTCAATGCCACCCACTTCAGCACCAGTCCCAGGACCCTAAAACGGTTTGGGCGGGAAGGGACCTTAAAGACCACCCAGCCCCAA